CTCTTGCTGCTCCAACCTGAGGATGGAGGGTGGAATCAGATCTTGGGTGGGAGGCTCCCCCCGCTGCTCTCCCAGCCCTGAACACCCACACCCACAGAGCTGGCAAGGCTTCCTATGCCCACCCCCACCCAGCCCAGCGCTGCTGCAAACGGTCACTTGCGTATGAATCACATTCACAGGATTTCCTCTGGGAATTCTGTGTAAGACAGTTTAGAAAGAAGCATTAATCAGGTTAGTTAACAGAGAAAACCAATGTTATTAGCTCCCCTACTCTCCAAGTACATGATTTCAACTCCTCAGACTTAAAAATCTTAATGAATAAAATTTGCCTATATTTATTGTGTACAGGATGCGAGATACGCACACGTGGGGTGACATGGCTAGACAGAGCTGATTAACATGTCCGTTGTATCACATCATCTCTTTTTCTGTGTAGTAAAAACAACTGGATTGCATCCTTTTGGTATTTTCAGTGATCAATACATTATTAACTGTGTTCACCATGTTTTCCAATAGCTCTGGAACATAGTCCTTCTAACTGAAACTTTGTATCCTTTGGCCAACCCAAACATTCCTAGCTAATGACTGAGTAGTGATTCCTCGAATAGGTCACTGAATTCATAACTAAATGAGGATCTGTGTATCATATATCCATTGCAATATTCAGAATGAAGAAATTGTCAAAAGTACTCTAACTTGATACCTCTGCTTTTATTTGCATTGCTCATACATGCAGTACTGTAAGGCATACCAACATAAAAGTACAGTATTGTACTGTATATATACTGCGTAGTATAATCAACAAAAATTACAGTACTGTGTAAAGAAGATTACTGTAACAAAAAGATATGAAGGCCCTGTAAACAAGATGTACAGAACTGCATATAAAAGAGTCCAAACAGTTGTTGAACCCAGTAGGCCATTAAACAAGGAATATCAGCATCTCTCTGAGTCTCACTGTCTAGCTCTCAGCAGCCAGTTCTGTACTTTCTACTTGAATGAGCTGAATGTCTGTTACATTGCACATGCGAGATCACGCTCTATTTGTTTTTCTGAGCATCATGTATTTCTTTTAGAGCAGATCAATGTCATGGAACTTTTCCTTGTGTTTCTTCTAGTACTTTTAAACTTCAGGTCATATATTTAAGTTTTAAATTCATTGTGAGTAGATATTTATACAGGATATGTGGGAACAATCTAATTCCTTCCTTCTTGCATGTTGATAAGTTGAAGAGAACTCTTTCTTCATCATTTGTTCTTGGCATCTTTGTCAAAAACACTTGACCATAAATACGTTGTTTCTAGGCTCTCTATGCTGATCCGTAGGCCAGTCTGTTTTGTAATGTGAATGCCCTGCTGTTTTGGATATTGTTAGTCTATCATACATTTTGAAGTCAGATAGGGTGAGGACATGACAGCAATGTTAGACAGTAGAAGGCTCTCTGCCTTACTGGTGCCACGAAAGCCAATGTCTTCAGTAGTTTCTCTGCCACAAGACTGTTCATTAATTCTTCTTTTTAAATGTCCTGCCACTTGGCCAACATCTGATTGCAGTATTCTCATTTTATATGCATTTCTTTATGTGGGGGTGATGGGTCTACCGTTCCCAGACTGTTTTTAAACTCTGGTATTTGTCAGGCCCCCCATGGCCCCTATAATTTCTCTCCCGCCCTCTTCCTTTGTTATGGTTCAACAAATTCTTACTGATATTTGCACATCTGCAAGCCTCTACCCAAGAGCACTTGTCTGGATTCAGATCATCCCCTTAATTTTCAAATAAACAACCCTGCTCACATAGCCTCAGGCTTCTCTCTCTACCAACCTCATTTCATTCTGTGTTCTGTTTCTTTAGAGGAGTCCACTAACACCATTATCTGTCCAGGCACTCAGCATATAAAGCAGAAGTCGTTTTTCTCTCTCATTGTATATAATTCATTAAAAATCCAATTTATGTTAGTTTTATTTATTAAACCTATTAATTATTCTTGCATACTGTATATCTTCTGTCCTTTTTCACTTCCCATTCCCTAGTTGGATTTTTAAATATTTTTTTATAGATCGTACAGCATCTCTCTACCCCTTCTTTCTGATTTCTGTTGTCATCATTCAATCCAAGTATAGATTTAGCACATGCTAGGTGCCTAAGATTTTTATTGGATTATTAAATGTAATAAATTAATAAAGTTGAATATCTTCTAACTCATAGTGATTATCTGTTTGTTCATATTATTTAATCCAGTTTGAACATGTATACACAATGTCATTGTACAAAATACATGCCAGTCACATTGTTATTATTTATGCTATCCATATATGAGTGCATGGTTTAATTTCTGCAGGACTTTCAACAAAGAGAGTAGAAATCAAATCTTCAAAAATAATACAAAAATATCTCGAGCCTCTTAAAGAGTAGATGAAGGTCTCAAAGCCTGATAGTTCTTTGTTCATTACCATTTTGCTTTGTCCCCCATCTTCCTTTCTTTTATATTTACATTGCAACCTAGCAAAACAGAATTTGTACTGTTTAATAGGATGGGGAAATAGAAAATCTGGACAATCAGACAGAACTGTTCTTAGCAGATGGAGCCAAAGAGCGCTATAGATCATCACACATTCATGATTGCTATGCACACATGTGCAAGTGTGTGTGTGTGTGTGTGTGTGTGTGTGTGTGTGTACTGTGACTTCACTTTTTGGATTCTTGCTCTGTTACTGCCCTATACTGCCTTGCAGAAGATGTATTTATGTGGAGTTACCCTTACCCAGCAGGTGACATTTGTCTCCTCTCCTTCTAAATCCAAACCCAACAAAAGCAAACCTGAACATACAGCTCATTTGCAGGGGACCTGCACTAATAATAACTATAAACATGTGTTTCAAAGATGTCTCTGCAGTCACTGAAGGAGAGAGTCCTGGCCCCATCACTTTGCCTTCTCTCTGCAGCTTGGGGTTGGTCTGTGGACTTTTTGCTTCATACATGAGCAACAGCTGTGTGCTGATGTGCCAAGGAAAACCAGCTCAGAATAGCTTTGTTGCAAGTAGAAAATGGCTCCGATGAGCTTTGGCAGTGGCTGTACTCTGGAATTGTATTTAATTTTGAAACTTGAATGGAAAAATCTGGTACATGAGAAAGCCAGTCCTGTGGGATCCTCTTAGACAATCAGGATCTGCTGTTAGAAGAAATCGATGCCCCAAAGCACAGGGCTGTGGGGCCTCCTGGAAGGAGCCTGGACGCGGCCACATGAGCAGATCCTAACTACAGCAGCGTGCATGGGCTGGGGCAGCAGGAAGCCTGCCACTTGGCAGCCCATTTGGCCAGCCAGACTTTGACCTTGCAACAGCTGACTTTGATTATGGCTTTATAAGTTTTCAAGAATATCTATCTTTTACTTGTTCACTCATGAAATCATACCATTCCTACAATTTGGGGCTTCTTTACAGTTTGGGGTGCAGCACTCTTCCTAAGTCAGGTCCAAGGGCCAGCGACTGCTTCCAATGTCCTCACCTTTGTCTAGCCAGTGCTTGTGTGTCCTCACAGTGGTGCTGGGTTGGAAGAAGGGCTCCTTTGCTTAGTTGTCACTGTGCTGACTGTCGCTGAGGAGCCAGTGCTGCTCAGCTGGCCACATCTGAGCAGGAGGGATGTTTAAGGCCTTTCGCCCCAGGACCAACCATGGTTGCTACAGGATGGTCTGCCTGGCAGTGGCCCCTTCCCAGCGCCTCAGCTTTGTGCCAGCTTGCCTCCCCCAGCCCGATTGTCTCCTTCTATCACACCCGGGCACTTCTGCAGGATGTGAACTGCCCAGGGTGCAGGACTAGGAGAAATTCATGGCTTCCAGAGATTGTGAATGCAGAAAAGAAGTGCTGCGAAGCCAGAAGTGTTTTTGAAGTGTCCCCAAAGCCTCCCTTGCTGTATCCCTCTCTGAAGTACCCACATCCTAGCAGGCAGAATCACTGACTGAGTAAACCTTTTACTTTCCCATGAAGCATTTGAAGTGTTGGATAATGAGTTCCAGGCTCCTCCATCTCAGGGGATCAGTTTTTCTTTCCTCTTTTGCACTCAGTCTAGTATACATTGAATAGTTATCCTGTCCCATTTTTCTCAGCCTCACGGTGATGTGATTTTTGGAGAGAATGTCTTCTTTTCAATATGGACTGGCTTAAATTGGACCAACCTCTCCATGTCAAAATACTAAGAAAATGAGACTAGGGAGTTTAGTTGTGTACATTTGTCTTTGAAGATGTACAGATTGTGGATACCTCTTTCTCCATATCCAAACCCCACATAGGAAGGGGAATATTGACTAAGTACATCAGACCAAAGGTTCTGTCCTTTCATTTCTCCCAGACAGGGGTAATCTAGGGAACTCTGAGGAATTCACATCGAGCTCCTTCTATAACCAGCTAGAGGAAAGGATACATATTGAAACCACTTAAATATAGCCCACATAAGTATAATGCAAATACCCATATAAAGGTATTTCATGATGATTCAAGAGAACTAAAATATCAATAATCACAGTGTTCTTTATAATGAGGACTGGTACCATGGTCTATTGAGAATCATGATGAGTGTTCTTTGGAGAAGGTCTAAAAATGAAAAAGATCTTATCATTCTGAAAGAGTTTTAGTAGGAACTGTTGTAGGGCAGGTGAGAGGTGGAAAGAGTGGCCTCTGTGATCTTGTCCTCAGGTGTTCGGTAATAGTTTTCAAGTTCAGCCACCAGTAGCTGAGCTCTGGACTCTAACCCAGGCGGTGTAGGCTCCCAGGGTGGGACCTGTTACCCATATTTATTCGGCAGCATTTTATTGTGATACAAGTAAGTCTTCCACCAGTGTGTGTGGGAACTTCAACTTCTGAGTTCATATCACTACTCTATATTTATATGGTTGTGGGCAGCACCAAAAGCAATGATACTGAAATATTCCCATGTATTGTTAAGAGTTTAATCACGTGTAGGTTATTTTTACTTACAAAAATTTTTATTTGTTTTTATTCTGTAGCCTCCACCTCAGATATATGACAAACAGCTGGATGAAAGAGAACATACCATTGAAGAATGGAAAGGTGATTCCACTGCTCATACACATATTTGTTTTTTACTTTATTAAAACTCAGACCATAGAAAGTATCTGACCCTTCTATATCCTATGCTTTTCATACAGAAAGTACTCCAAGAACTTTTCTTATAAAAAATACATGGAAAGATTTTTAAATTGTTCTTTTGTACCATTTTCAAAGTTCCTAAAACTTCATCTATCTTTTCATACTGATGACAGAATTGCATTAATGCATTAATGAAAGGAATTAATTAAATTAATTATTTACATCTTTGCAGATAGTACTGATTATCAAAGTCTTTGTTGTTGTGGAGGGCAAGCTTCAACTCAAAATTTTAAAATTAAATTTCCCTGCTGATAAGCAAAAATTTTACATAAAACATAAAATTAAAATGTTTTTAGATTTTAGAGGGAGGAATATATTCATTTACTGACTGTAAGATTTGAGAGCTTAAATAGAAAATAAGTGCTCCTAAGTGTCTTATTTCTCCTGCAGTTAATAAAAGGAGACAGTGAATTCTTTACTCCTTTTTTCCATAGAAATTTCTCCAAAATCATGTTATATCTTCAGAAGTATACCTAGGTTGAAACAAGACAGAAGGGCAACTCAGACTTGCCAAGCACTATTAAACTAATAGAAATAACTGCAGAGTAGAGTAATATAAGAAACCCTAGTGGGAAGATACGAAGCAATGAGATCAAAGTGGGGAGAAACATAAATGCAGAATTTGAAGGAAGGCAAACTTAGCTACCTTGGATAAATTAATACAAATTGTGAAAAGAAATACAGTAAAATACCAGATAAGGTCCATAAGAGGAAGACAAATGGTTTTTGAGCAAGCAAAACTTCCAGGAGGAATAAAAAGACTTCCTTGGGCAAGGTACCCTGCTAGTGAAGATGGAAAACTCAAGGAATGCAAAAAGTAAATCATTGAGAATGCAGCTGGAAGGAAACGGTTTGCTTTGACCTAATCAAGAATAAAGCAGTTTTTTTTTAAAAAAAAGAAAGAAAAAAAAAGAATAAAGCAGTTTGCAGGGGTTCCTAAATAGGTAAGAGGGCAATACAGCCGTCATCTGATGAAGGCATAGACTAAACTGGAGAAAGAAGAGTGCAGAAGGGTTGATGGTCACATGAGTCTCAGGCTGCCACAAAGCAAGAATGAGGAGGGCCGAATAATTTTTAGCTAAAAGGAAAAATTTTAAAGAACCGAAGATCAACTTTTTAATGTTAGCAATGAGAAAGACAAAAATGGATGCCAATTTGGGAATGAATAAAACAGATTTTTAGAATGCTGTGTTTTAGGTCTGTTTAGATTTTCAAATCTAAGACAGGAACCTGAAAGAAAAATGATGTCAGATGAAAGATGTAAGGCCTGGTAATGATCTAATGTTGTAAGCCATTGTGCAGCTCGAGGTGTGAGTGTTCAAAAAAATGGGTGCTCAAAAAAGATTATAAAAATTTATTGGTAAATAACGTGAGACTACATCAGAAGTGCCCACCACTGAGGATTGAAAAAAAAATGTGTATCTTTCATACATTCATTTATTCACTGCTTTATTAAGGAGAAACTTTTGCTATTTCTATAAAATAGAAATAGAGGAATAAGGGATCTCAGTTGATTCTGATCTACTCAACCCCATCAAAATATTGTTGCTTGCTATGATTTAATTTCTCTGTAGATTAAGAAACATTTGCTGTAGATAGTAACACATAACTGTTTTTTGCAGAACTTATTTACAAGGAAGTAATGAATTCAGAAGAAAAGACTAAAAATGGCGTAGTAAAAGGACAACCTTCTCCTTCAGGTACCCACTCCCAGTGAATAACCAATAAACCAGTACTTGGGTATGTCTTGGACTTCTGGGAGGGGTGGCAAGCAGTAATGTTACTTACTGAATGTGTAAGTAAGGACCATGTGATTGCTTCCCCATGGTTTTCATTTTGTTTGTTCTGATATTTAGTGCGTTTATTCTGATTATTCTGATTATAATGATCCAGCACAACAGTTCTCTTAGGACTGACTTAAAGACAGCAACACATTCTAAAGAATTGTTGACATGGGTTCTCCAAGCATAAATGCTATTCATAAAACAGAGACACAAGGCCCTGCTGGCCACCAGGTAGTGGAGAGCTCAGGAATCCCTCCAGCTCCACTCTTTACCCACATCCATTCTCACCAAACTCTTCCCAAGATGGTGTGACCAAGTTGAAGCCTCTACCACATGTGCTGTGTGCTTGTCACCCTTTCCTGTATTGGAACAACATACTTGACATATGCAACCTAAAGGAAGAAAGTTTTATTGTAGTTCATGGGTTCAGTTTATTGTCACAGACTCCTTTTAATTGTGTTTATTTATTGGGGTTTTGGGTGTGTGTTTATTTTGAGACATGGCCTTGCTATGTAGTTCAGGTGGCTTTGAATTCACTATGAAGCCCAGGCTGGCCTAAAACTCATGGTGATCCTCCTGCCTCCACCTCCAAAGTACTGGGCTTATGGCATACACCACCACACTGCAGGTTTGGAGACAGAAACACATTGGTAGAAGGGTGTGTTGAGTGCAAACTGCTCAACCCAAGGTGAGCAGGGCACAGATAACAAGAAAGAGCTCCAGAAAAGTTAGGACCGTCAGTCACATGCAAGCAACCTGAGTGATCTGCTTTTGCCAGAAAGATGCATGTCTTGAATATAAAGCATTTGAGAAAACATAGTTTATTTTCACCTTTAAATTACACTCAGCTTTTGCCACCAAGAGTGTAACCTGCAAATGACTAGAACAAACAGATTTGTATGTCTAACTTTCATGAAAAGTATTTCCCATTCATTGTCAATTGTCATAGGGAAAAGGGTATAATCAATTACTCACACCAATAGTATTACATGGACCACTAGTTTGTGCCCACAGGCAGCCTGACACCCAGACAGATGTACTTACCACATGTCCTTCTCCCCAGAAGACTTAAGGCAATGTTCAGTTCTACCCCAAGTTTTCTTCATGACATAGGGCAAAGAAACTCCCAACCTGTTTTATGTCTGCTATGAGTTTGTGTTCTCTAAAATCAAAGAATTTTAAGCACAATGAAAGTTAAGAGCAGAATATATTTGTTGGTGGAAGAAAAGTTTCTGTCTCAGAGAAAGAATAAAGAAGTCCCAAGTAGGAAGACAAGGAACCTGCTTTTCTAGGAATTTTTATAGAGCAAGTCCACAACATGAGGTGGGTCCAAGGTGGGCAAAATGGGAACTTGCAAGGTGGGCATGAGGTGGAATATTATTACGGCCAACCAATAAGATTATGAGTCTATTTGCTCAGGTAAAATCCATTAAATTGGAATCAAATGGGGAAACAAATCATATAGCAAGTGGACATAAATACAGAACAGGGGCTTTTTGTAGGGATTGGGATATTGAGTCTTCCTGGCTTTCTCAAGGTGATTGGTGCCTCTTTTGATATCAGTCCCCAATGTCCATCCTTAGGGAGTTATGTGGCTGCATTTGTTTTGTCTTTTGTCTTGAGATCTGGCCCACAGCTGAGGTGCCTGTCTCTCCCACAGTTGTGAGGTGGGTTCTGCACTGGCTCCTTCAAGGGCAAAGGCTTGTCTGACTAGCTACGATATTGTATTTGTCATAACTGTCTATAACACTTAGAAAGGCAAAGGGTACACTGGCATTGTCTTCCACTTTGCCCACCTTCATTACTCTTTCTACCGTTTGGATTGATTCTGCAGAAATTGTTTCTAAATTCTCTATATGCTTTCTCTACTGCTGATTTAAAAAAAACAAACAAACTGAAAAGACAGAAAGATTCAACATCCATCCAGAATGATTCCTTGTGTTAAGGATTCCTATAATAATCAGAAAAAAATGTATAACTGTAAAGAAACTGAAATACTAGCATCAAGGAAAAGATGACAATATTTTATACTGGGATGGAACCCATTTTAACAGAAACTATTTATCAATCTTCAGTTCAGATTATCATTGCTTCATTTCTTTTCAATAATACCTTGTTCCAAAAGACTTTGCATATCTTCCCTAAGAATAGGATCCTTTTAAATTTTCTACTAGTCCTTGTGCTTAAAATATTGGACCTCTTGTATTACTACCCCCTACTGATTGTAAGTTCACTGAGAAGATTGTGCCCATTCATCTTTGCACACTCTGCAGTGCCATACCCTGTAGTAATAATAGCTCAATAAATGTTTATTCACTAGAAACTAACCACTCAGTTCCTCTCTCAGCATGTCTCTTGGTGCTATTCCAAAAACAGACTTCAAGACAGGATAATAGTTTTAATGGAGTACACAACTCAGTAAGTTCTTGGATGATGATTACAACTATTTAGTCACCCTATTATTTGCCATGAGTCTAAGTAGGTCCAGTGTTAATTCCAGGAATTGTCATCTTTGACATTTGTCCATGCCTCCCACAGTGGCTTGCTGCCTTCACATGACTTTTCAATTCATTCACTTTGGCAATATACATTTATGATTATTTACAGGCCTGTTTCCTTCAGTGTTCATGATTATTTCAAAATACATCAGTTAAGGTCTACCTAAGAAAGAAGTCTTTACTTCTTTTTAATCATGGCAATGACTGATAACAGTGAGAGATTATGTACCATATGAATATATCTTATATATGACAGTGAGAGATTATGTATCATATGTATATACAAGTATAGATTTGACTGATTTAACCAATTCATAATTAAAGTGATTGCAGAGTTAATTTTTCACTACATGATTTTAAAGGACAATGATCCATGACTCAATTCTGACAGATCACAGGTGATGTGTATCTATGTGACATATTCATCTGTGATGTATCTTCCTTTATTCACGTCATGCTGAGGCTGTAGAGCAGCTGAGTGGTAGAGCCATTTCTTGTATCTCTAGAGAAGCAATTGTGTACATCTCTTCCCAGAGTGATTTTATGGCCCTCATGTTGATAGCCTCAAGGAGCTAGGGAAGTTTACAACATGAAACTTGGCAGACCCTGCAAATCAGGACATCTTCCCCCTGGAGAGTCGCTTGTTAAATTTTTATTGGTGCATCACTATATTAGTGTGTATGCAGTAAACTGCTAGAAAGAAAAAGCAATTTCTAAAACATCTTCTGAAAAGTTGCTTTTTTGCATTTTCATTATACTCAACTTTCCCCATTAAGGTCTACATACCATACTTTATAGTTTGAAGAGCTAGGATGAAATTGTCTTGCAATATGGATTCTCTTATACTCAGTGATAATCCCCTAGCAAGGGGTGAGTTAATGCAATTCCTCAGGGACAAGATGACCTAAATCCCCAAGTCTGTTGTAAGGATGCCTTAAAAATATAAATAGGAGATTAAATGCACATTTTCTGAGTTACTTATAGTTTTGAAATTCATTGATGGAATTGTCGTATATGAATAAGAATACATCTAAACTTCAGATACAGTCCTAAACAAATAATTTTTACTCATTTCTGCCATCTGATTTCACTTGTACAGCAATTTATGTGTGTGTGTTTTTTTTTAAATAGCCTAGCTGTTTGCTTCCTGAATTGATTTGTAAAGACTGCTGCAGGAATAGTAGTCTGTAAACAGAAATTAATTTTCCTCTGGAGGCAATTGTTATATAAAGCTAAAGCTGAAACAAACATAGTGGGTCATCTAATTTTGTGATTCTCTGTCTGTCTCCCACCTCTATTCCGTGTCAAAATAAAGCTCCCTTGGGTAGCAGTGACTCACTGAGACAAAGATGCTTAGCACATGTTGGACAGAGATTTTTAAAAAATCTTTAAATGAAAGGTAAATTTGTCCAGGTGTTTTAGTACAGACTCCCTCCTTTCCAGTGTGGGCAGTGTTCCCCACTGTGGGAGGAGACCTCTCCCAGCTAGAGTCACTCATTTCATTCAATGATTTGTATTTATTTTTTGCTAAAAATCATCAAGCCCAGACATGTTAGGAGGCTCAAGATTTTATAGAAAGAAATGAATATCCTTCTTTGATTTTCGTTTCTTTTCATTTTTTGCATATATCTTTTGGTTGGTAGTGGTTGTTGTGGAGGGGATTGTCATGAAAAATAATTTCCTTTTATTTCTCCTAATAACAGAGAATATTTTTTGTTAAATAACTTTTAGCTTGGAAATTCCATTAGTATAAGTTATTTCATTTTTCAAATTATGCTGTGTAAAAGTAAAATAGAAAATAGCTAATATCCATCATTTGCAACCCTATTAGTATTCTTAGCTCCTTTAAATGTCATTGTCATTGAAAGTGGGCCTTGCTTATTGACAGCAAAACATATTGCAGCATACATCTCTCCACTGGTTCCTTCTGTGTAATAAAGAAAGAAGGGAAAATTGTCACGTTGTTGGGCATCCTGGAGTGGAAGTTATAATCACATTCAGTCTGGCTCAATTCTGCTCAAGAGATTTTTCACAAATTTCTTGACAATAAAGTAATGTGAAACCAAGGTTTCTGTTCTGTTCCTTTTTCTAAAGGGATTCTTAGCACTTCTTCTTCTTCTTTTTTTTTTTTTTTTTGAAACAAGCTCTCACTATGTAGCCCAGGGTGACCTTGAACTCATTATATAGTCCAGACTGGCCTCAAACTTATGGCAGTCCTGTCCTGTCTCTTTCACTTGTGCTCATGTTTTCAGTTTGCTAAACTTGATCGTTGCCTGTGTGGAACTTGAATGGGTCATATTAAAGCTACAAGTGATTGCAGCCACTTACTGTAATATGATAATGAAGGGAGTGCCAATCAAAACTTATTCATCGGAAAATGGTAAGATCATTAATCCTTAGCAATCATCTCTAAATGAC